TTCGGAAGCTAGAGTGGTTTTCGCAGACGGATAGGCGGACGAATATCGCTAAGTCGACCAAGAATTTTATGCTGTGGGGTCTAAAATGTATATTTCGAGGTGTTACAAACGAAATGACAAACATAATGTGCCTCCATACTATGGTGGAGGGTATAAAAACTGGGGTTTTCTGAGTGAAGTCGGGTAAAATGAGCCAAAGACCCCAGTGTTTTGAAAATAATGGGTTATTCCCCGAATTCCTTTAATTTTTAAGTAGGAGGCTAGAATAACCCACTCTTCTCATACCGAACTAGTTTCAATGCCATTTCTCCCACATTCATCTCCCTTCCACCATAACATACATACCTTGTGCAAAATACTATTTCCTTATCCATTTTGGCTGCAAATCCTTTACACTAGCTTACACAAAATAATTTTCAACATTTGTATTTTTTTCGCAGGACAAAAAAAAAACGAAAGGAAAATCAAAATATTTTCTGGAGAAAATATTTCTTTGGAGAAAAAAACCAATGAACGTGTGCACTTTAAAACCACTAACTTCAAACTAAAAAAGTGGTCGCCATTGGCTTGTTTTCTTCTTCATCATGGATATGAAAATGCATTCTCTTCTTCATCTTCCAATTGTTTATTTAATAAAGAAGCCAAGATGCATTCGAAAAAAGAAAGAAAAAATTTCTTTTGGTTACAAATCCAAAATAATACATCAACTTGTGGTGAATTGGATTAGAGGGTGTTTGAATCCAGCAAACAATATGTTTCATTTCATGGCAGCCAGTTTTTTTGAGAAGAAAAAAAAACACAAATTGTTACAGATTTGACCAGAATGCACAAAGGCTAGCCATACGTCGTCTATCCCACACACACGGATGTTTATGTGAATCACCAGCGATTAAGGGGAGGAAGATTTTTCGATAAATATTTTTTATAAACAAAAAAAATCTCATCATCATATTTTCTTGTTTTTTGTACATGTGTGTCTTGTTTAAGAATTATGATTACAAATTTATTTTCAATTTCAAATTTGTAATTGTTTAGATTCATATCTCGACTTCGACTTCTATTTTTTTCGCTTTGACTACAAAACATACAAAATTAGGTTAGAATTTTCAATTTGTTTTGGGGAGGGAGATGTAGTGGAGAATGGTTATCCGCCAGCCAGTCAGTCGAATGATGACCGACCGTGTGTGTGTAATTCAAATAATCAAATCGCACATTGTAAAATCTCGAATTTAATTACATTGTTTATTTTAAAAAAAAGTCCAGAGGATTAAATCATTCAAAATGTCGAAGAAGAAAGTTGAAAAGCCAGGCCACTCTAAAAGCCATTAAAAAAAGGGATGTGTGGAAAATTTGAAAAATATGGAAATTTTCTAAAATACCAAAGACAGAAAAGGGGAAAAAATATCAACCTCCCTTGAATGAATTCCATGCATTGCAGAACTTCTGTAGGTTTTGCTCAAAAATGACGTCCCAGAGAGAGAGAGAGAAAAATTTCTTCTGATGACCTTCTAACAGAAGAACTCATTGAGGTCTTCTAAAAGAAAGAAAGGTCTTCGAAAACATCCTCTGGAGGAGAAGGGGAATAAAAAGACACTACCAAGCAAAAAAGCTCTAAGTTCGGCAGGGCCGATCTTTAAATACCCTCCACCATTTGCAACGAATTTGACAATTTTCGAAAAAATAAAAACCGATAAAAATTCTGTTAAAATCTTAAAAATACCGAATATCGGGAGGTACCATTATATGGGGGCTATACGAAGACGTGGACCTGCACAGACAAGTTTCTGTCTTAGGCTGTAGTATCCATTACGAATTTCAAATACCAAATTTGAAACAATTCCGGTGAATAATGTAGCTAAAATCACCAAAATACCAAATTTCAGAAGGTACCGTTATATGGGGGCTATTCCAAAACGTAGACCTACATGACCCATTTTTAATACTTAAAGTTCTTTCATTTCGTTTGGAAGCTAGAGTGATTTCCACAGACGGACAGAGGGATAGACGTTCGGACAGAGGAATAGACGTTCGGACATCGCTAAATCGACATAGAATTTTATGCTGACTTTGTGCCGTCTAAAATTTATATTTGGAGGTGTTAAAAACGGAATGAAAAACTTAATATACCCTCCACACTATGGTGGAGGATATAAAAAGCGGGAAGGGGGAGAAGGCTCTTAAGATTAAGGCCCTTGGAAAGTCTTCCATATATTGCAGACCATCTGTAAAAGAAAGACCTCTCAGAGAGAGAGAGAGAGAGTGGGAGATAAACATCTTTTGGATATCTTGTTTTTCTCTAGAAGAAAACTCCTACTACTACTACTTGACAAAAATCTTATAGAGGAGAAGGAGAAAAAGAAGACACTTAAACAGAAGAAGAAGAGGGGGGGAGTTCCAAAGATCAACAACCTTTCGAGGTCTTCCATGTTTGCCAGAACTTTTGTAAATTTTGCCCAAAAGACCTCCGGAAGGGCTACTAAAAATACCTTCTGGAGATCTTCTAACAGAAGACCCGATGTAGGCCTTCTAGAAGAAAAACTTTAGAAGATCTTTAAAAGATCTTTTACAAGACTTTATGGGGGCCAGAACATAGAAAAAAAAATGGGGGCTTTCTAGAGAAATACCCCCTCTGGCTTTTTTAGGAGAACACTTTTTCATCGATAAGAACCTCTTCTAAAGGACTTTTGAAAGCAAACTCTAAAGGTCTTCTAGATTTATGTCCTGTGGAGAAGAAGGCTTTTTGGACGTCTTCTAAAGACGACATTTTGAAGGCTTTTCTAGAGAAAGATCTTCTGGAGGTTTTCTAGAAGAAGACGAATAGACTTCCGAAATTTCTCAATAGAGGTCTTATCGAAGATATAATAATGGAGATCTTCTGAAATAGCTTCCCGGCATCCTTTTGAAGAAGCCCTTCTGGAGGTTTACTGGTGGAAGGCCGACTAGGAATCTTCGAAGACGACCAAAAAGTCTTCTCATTCCCCTCCAAAAGATGTGCATCTAGAAAACCTTCAGAAGTTGTTTCTAGAAATTATATAGGAGAGCTCCCATAGTTTTTTTAAGGAGGACTTCTAGAAGTGGTCTCTTTTTCTAAACTATGGAAGTTTTCGAGAAGACTACCATGTAGGAGTCCGTCAGAAGAAGATTTTTAGAAGGTCTCCTAGTAAAAAATCGACAAGAGACTTTATGGAAGTTTTATAGAAGAAGATTTTCTGGAGGTCTTCTGGTTGAACATCCATAAAAGGTCTTCCAAAAGTAGGCCATTCGAAAGCTTCCTAGAAGAAGACCTACTAGAGGTCTTCTAGAGGAAGGCATTCTAGAATTTTCTTACAAAAAGAATTTTTGTGCCCTTCTGTGTATGAGAGACCTTTAAAGGTTCTTAGATCTGTAGAAGACCTTCAAGGGGTCTCCTGTGCATTCAAGACCTCCCATGTATAGAAGACCTCCAGAGTTTCTTCTATGTGTAGAAAATATCCAGATGTTCTTCAATGTGTGGAACACCTCCACAGGTTGTTCTATGTATAGAAAACCTTCAGAGATTTTTCTATGTATAGATGTTAAGACCTCATGGGCTTCTTCTATAAATAGAAGGCCTCCAGAGATTCTTTTATGTACAAAAGAAGCAGAAGTACTTTAATTTTAGAAGACCTGCAGAAATTCTTCTATTTTAGAAGACCTCTTCAATAAGTCTTCAATGTATATAAGAACTCCCGAGAGCTCAGAGGGTTTCCTATGTATAGAAGACCTACTGATACGAGTATTTTTTCCATATTGTACATCTCCCGTAGATCTTATATGTATATAAGACATCCTGAGGGTTTTCGAGGTGTAGACAACCTAGAGAGGATAATTAAAATGACGTATACAGATTACCATCTCTAGGTCATCTACATAGGAGAGGCTTCCAGGAGACTTATAATAATAATAATAATTACTATTATTGTAATAATAATTATTATTTATAATATTATTATTATTATTAGTATTATTTTATGACTATTATTATTATTATTATTATTATTATTATTATTATTATTATTATTATTATTATTTTTATTATTATTATTATTATTATTATTATTATTATTATTATTATTATTATTATTATTATTATTATTATTATATTATTATCATCATTATTATTATTATTCTTTATTATCAATTATTATTATTATTATTATTGTTATTATTAGAATTATTTTTATTATTATATTATTATTGTTATTATTATTATTTTATTATTATTATTATTATTATTATTATTATTATTATTATTATTATTATTATTATTATTATTATTATTATTATTATTATTATTATTATTATTATTATTATTATTATTATTATTATTGTTATTATTATAATTATTTTATTATTATTATTATTATTGTTATGATTATATTTTTATTATTATTATTATTATTATTATTATTATTATTATTATTAGTATTATTATTATTATTATTATTATTAGTATTATTATTATTATTATTATTATTATTATTATTATTATTATTATTATTATTATTATTATTGTTTATTATTATAATTATTTTATTATTATTATTATGTTATTATTATTATTTTTATTATTATTATTAGTATTATTATTATTATTATTATTATTATTATTATTATTATTATTATTGTTATTATTATTATTATTATTGTTATTATTATTATTATTATTATTATTATTATTATTATTATTATTATTATTATTATTATTATTATTATTATTATTATTATTATTATTATTATTATTATTATTATTATTATTATTATTATTATTATTATTATTATTATTATTATTATTATTATTATTATTATTATTATTATTATTATTATTATTATTATTATTATTATTATTATTATTATATTATTATTATTATTATTATTATTGATATTAGTAAGAGCTACCTACAGTTGCTTGACTTCAAAACCCAATTATTTTTTTTTGATTATTTCACATTTTTATATTTTAATTATATCCGCTTACTTACCAATATCTCCTTGGATTTAACAATAAATTACAAATAAGAACACCTATAACGAGAAAAAAAAATAATTAATTTTTCAGCAATTTTTTTAACAAATCTCTCAAAGCTTATTTTCTATTAAGGCTTAGAACAAAAAAGAAAAAAAGCAACACAATAAAAAATAAGAGATAAAATTAAATCATCATTTGAAAAACAAAATAATAATAAGAAGCAAATAACAAACAATAAGCCACGGGGTGGAGCCACTGCAAAAGAAAAAACAATAAATAATGAAAATGTTATAATTTAAAAATAGATTTAATAATTTTAGAATATTGAAAGCTAAAAGCCATGAAATAAGCTTTGAATAGCTTGTTGTACGAAATAATAGATTTTTCAGGAAAAAAAAGAATTATGTGGTGAGACCTTAACCCGAGGATCTGGGGGTCATAGAACGTTAAGACTCCCAAGCTGCTTCTTAATTGTGTTTTTCATGGATTTTCGATAAAATCGCAAGATAAGCAAATTGAGTTTTAGATAAATTTTATAAAAACTCATAACGAGCTGCCTTTCCCATCTGATGATAATTCAAATTTTGCTTTACACAAATCATTTAAATGTTTCATTGTTTGCAACTAGTCACTGTTTTAAAACTTGCACGTTTTGGGATATTAAATTGCTTTAATTGTTATGGAAATCAAGCCAGGGGTGTGAGAGTGAGTACTTCGTGGTTATTATTTGTTTTGTTGCCTTTTCGTTTTTGAGGTTTAGGAGTTAATTGTTTGTTTCCTCTAGAATATATTACGTTCAAATCTCCCTGGCGTGGCGTTGTAATGTAAAACCTACACAGCTCCCTCACACACACAGGCAGACAGACAGAAATTATGAAATTAAATCTCATGATTTTTTTTTTTTTTAAAACTGCATGGGCTTTGTGTAATATGAAATTCAAAGAAAAAATATAGCATTTTTTTCAAATTACCCAGTCGATGATGATGCTGTTGTGACGATAATGAAGTTCCTTGGTTGCTGCCATTGTCTGAGTTGTTCGATGTTCTGAAAAATTGCAACAACACTTCCTTGGATTTTGTGTAAATCAAATGGTAATGCCGGTGTTTTTACAAACACTCCTTGAAAATTTAACCATATGTAAAAGATAACATACATTCGTTCCTGCATACACACATACATATGTGTGAATGGGTATGTGAGTCATGCCAAAAAAAAGCGAAAAACAAACACATTACGGCAAGGAACCTCAAATTATTATGTGAATGTAATAAAGCTTAGGAGGGAGGGTAAGAGAATTTTTGGTTACAGATGACCTGGACCTGATATTGGCTATTTTCCTCTACAGTCTGTAGTGTCTATTAGGAGATTCAAATACGAAATTTGAAAAAATTCTGATGAAAAGTGTGACAAAAATTATCCAAAATACGAATACAGAAAGGTGCCGTTATATGGGGGCTATACGAAGACTTGGACTTGCAAAGGCAATATTCGGTCACAGATGGTAGTACCCGTTGGGAACTTCAAATACGAAATTTGAAATAATTCTGATGAATAATGTCGCTGAAGTCCTTAAAATATCGAATTCAGTAAAACGGGGCTATACCAAAACTTGAACCTACATAGCCCATTTTCCATGCGAAAAGTCCCGCAGACCTAACATACTAAACTAAAAAGACTAAAATTACATCAATCTACTCCATTTCGTTTGGAAGCTAGAGTGATTTAAACAAATGGACGGACCAAGAATATATATACCTTGTGGGGTCTTAAAATTTATAGGGTGAGATAAAAAAAACTGCAACAAAGTCAAACGCCATAAATTTTACATTTTTTGTTTTAATTTTATTTAATAAAAGAAAAAATGTCGGAAATAGCCTAAAATTTTAGAATAAGTTTAGGTTTCTTCGAATTGATCACCGAAATTATGGCCTTCAAAAGGCCAATGAAATCGTCACAAGCTGCCCGAATATTGCTCTGGGTTATTTTGGCCTGTTCCCGGCGAAGCGCTTGCTTGAGGTGATCGACACTTTGGTATTTTTTAGTGTCAATCTTGCTTACCAAAATACTCCAGACACAATAGTCCAAAGGATTGGTATCCAGAGATTTTGGTGGGCATTTTGAATGAAGCGAGGATTCTCATTTTGTAACCATTCTTGGGTGTCGCGTGCTGAGTGCGATGGTGCTGAGTCCCAAAATTTTTACGTATCCAAGGCTTTAATACATTCTCTAAAATTTTTTCGCGACAATATTCGGCATTAATTCTGGTGCCACATGTCGATTAATACGAGCGGAGAGCGACCATCGGCTGTTATGGCGGCCCAAACCATCACCATGTCACCATGGCCGGCGCTTGAGTTCTGGTGGCCAACCGAAGGTACACATGTTCAGCGGACCTCTTTGGCAAGTAAACACGATCATTTTGGTAGTTTACAAACTGCTGGACAAGGAATGTTTAATCATCGGAGACGGTGAAAAGCAAATTCGTCAGTTCACCACATTCGGCCAAGCGAAGCAACTCTTTAGCTCTTCTGACTTTTTGGAATTTCAATGGCTCTACCCCGAGCTCATTTTTCAATATTTGCCGAATTGGATATTGCGATATGTTCTTCGAACCATTTCTGCTGATGTTGCTGTTTTCTTACGTCCACTTCCACTCCCTTGACTTCGGGCTATTCTGCCAGTATCACGGCAACGAGCGATGGTACGAGACACAAAAGATTTATTCACTCCAGCTCTAACGATAGCCACTTGTGGTTTTCCAGCCAAATAAAAATAAATCACACTATCACGCTTGAATTACATCACGAATAACTTTTTTTCTGGAAAATTCTCACCAAAATGCTTGTGATCGCTTGTGAACAATATAATGAGCTCTTATTGGAATAATTTTAACAGCTGTCGGACGAGTGGCTTAGAAATAACAGCAGTCTGAAGTTGGTTGCAGTTTTTTCATCTCACCCTGTATATTTCGAGGTGTTACAAACGGAATGAAGATGGTTATAAAAAAGGTTGATTTTTTCCTGACAAACTTGCCTTTTTTCGTCTCCCTAGGAAATTTAAGTCTCTCTCTCTCTCTCTCTTATGAAATATAGCTCCACTCCACATTTGCGCCCTATATCCATATCTCAGAGATGCGCAGCTGATTTGAACCTCATCATAACACCCTCTTCTCTTTGTGAGCAAACAACATACCAAATATTTTTTTTTTTTTTTAGATTTTGAAATTAAACACCGACAATCACCCATCACTTTGGCTGCGCATGCGTAGGTGGCAAGGTATCGACTAATATGTGTGGAGCTATATATCTATATGCACAAAAGACCATTTGCAATGATGGCGATGACTCCGACATGGTGTTGCAATATGCGTCAAAATGCAGAATGCTGGGAGTAGAAGGATGAGGTGAACAAAAAATATGAAACAATATTTCAAAGTTTTTAACTTAGAGAGAGAGAGAGGAGACACACAGTTTGGGGTCCCCGCTAAACGGTGCAGAAGAACATAAACAGACAAACCGTGTATCATCAGCAGCGCATCTCTGATGACCATGTCGTGCTTGTAATCGGAGTAGTTAACTCAAGGAGGGAATCATCGTCATCATCAAATACCCGGACAAAAGACCGAGAGAAAAAAACGAGAAAAACAATAACAATACCGACTAGCCTTTTACTGTCAGACAGACACCCAGCCAGCCAGCCAGCTAGTCAGCCATCCGTCCTGCTCCACAACAAGCGTGTAATAATAATGAAAGATAATAATAGATTGTTATAGATAGTTTAGCGCTAGTAAGACGAACGTGGTCGCCATTCGGCAAGGGCACATCACAAAGGGAGTGTTATTTTATGGATTTGTTGCAATACCTTTGGGGGCCTATATTTATGTTGATTATGTCGGTTATTAGGTTTTTCTTGAAAGGTGTACATACGTACAATCTTTTGGCTTAAACTGCAAGCAGAAGAGTTTTCGACGAAAACAAAAAAAAAATGACTTAATGTAGAAAAACGGTTTTCAAATGAAGAGGAGCGGAGAGGCGAGAAAAGACCATGAAATAGTGAATGGTATTGAAAAAATAAGCAAATCATAGCAGAACCAAATTGTTATTCATGCATAATGAAGCATTATTAGGTCAAATGGGAGAAAATTGAAACAAAACTTGATGTTTAGAGAAAGTGTAAAAAAAGAAGAATTTTGAAATCAAAGCAAATTTCTGCAAAACCAATGATTGCAGCTCAAATATTAAAGCCCGGACTATATTCAAAGGAAGTTTTTTCAAAATCCGTGTTTTAGATTCATATTATATTTCGTCTACAAATGCTGGAGTATTTTAACAGTCCAGTCCTCTCTCCCTGCTACCCTATATATAGTTTTTTCTAGCGATAGTCTTTGTGGCTTTTGTTTCGATGTGATGAGTCACTGAATGTTTGACTGGAGGCATATTATCGGATAGTTTCGTTATATCCTGGAATTCTTCTATAAGAGAATGAAAAAGAGAATCTCTAGGAGTTATATTGCTTGTTACAAATGAAATTTGAAGTTAGTTATCTTGTCAATTAGTATTTTTTTCTTAACGTCAACTAGTAAATAAAAATACTTAGCAAAATCGGATCCAATAATTGAATGAGAAACGTCAGTCATAGCAAATGGCCATAGCAAACCCAAATTTCTTTGCCAACCCAGATTCAACTTAAGGATTTTTCTCACCTCACGTTTTTGTAGGAGTATTATTGGCCGCTTGAAGTCTCGTGTCCTTTGGGATCGAATGATTTTGTTGAATGAAAGCGGGAATAACAGAAGAACTGCAGATTTGTGAATGTATCCTTTAAAATCAGGCGACTTAACTTAAAACCTCCTTCATCTGTAACCAAGCCTTCAGTTTTCCGACTTGTATGCACATGATGGACGACATTTCGTGAGGAACTGCTGATTAGTAGTATCTCTCAAAATCAGGCGACATAACTTTAAACCCCCTTCATCCGTCAGCAACGATGATGAAATCTTCACTTTTCCGGCTAGTATTCACATGATTGACGACATTTCGTTGCTCTACTTTCAAA